TACAATACCTTTTCTTGCCTTCATGTTACAGAAACCACTTAACAGGTTTTGCTCAAGAACTGTGCTTTAAAAGATACTAAAGAGACCTCACCTATCGATCGTTATGATAGATCTTAAAAGTAAAAGCAGATGATACGTCAGCTGAGCCCATTGACTGCCATCAGCTAAACTACAATCCCCACTAAAATTTCCTGTTTTCCTTCATCATTTTCAACATTTATGGAGGTCCTTTTACTTCACCAGATTGAAGTTCTAAATAATGATTAAGTTTCAGAAATCTTCTCCATAATGTTTAATTCGTATATTTTGAAAGTTCTGTTGCAAAAATTCTTGCAGATGTTCTGTGGAACTGCTGTAATGTTTCCATCTCTTCCTTACCCCCTCCTCTAAACTATACCTTTGCTAACGTGAGTACAGAAATATAGGGTTTAGGGGAAATTACTGAACTTCTGAACAACCTTTATTTTTTCCATATATTCTGTGTAACCAGAGAGAAAGAAAATATACCTGGAAATGGGTTCCTCTTAGGCAAAGGCAGATGATCATCCCTGTGAGTCTGGAAGGCAAACTATTTTTTGGTTGAATTAATGGAATACTACCACTGTGCTTGTACTCTGGAAAAGAGAAAAGAAACAAACCAAAACCTCTTCATAAACTTGCAAGGGTTTCTGAACTGCATTTTTTACAGCGCTAAAACAGTGTGCTTACAATTTTACATAGAAAATGTCTGCTTATTTAACTATGTGCCAGTTATAATTAATAATTAGTGTTGGTTGAACCCTAAAGTCTTTATACCTATTAAACCTTTTATGAAAGGATTTAATAAGTAAAATAGATTTTATTGTGTCTAGTTTGAAGCAGATAGGCTTTAGGGTTTCAATGGTCAAAAACTTAATTTCCTCAATAGTTTTTTTTCATTTTGGTCATACAATTTATTGTATGATACAATTCTTTTAGGAATACTGTCAGACAAGGTATAACTAATATAATTATTCTGTAAAGTACTTTGGATTGTGACTCTGGAATTTTTTCTTCCTTTATTTCTACTGAGCTTATTTAGCACCAGCTAGAGGTTTGAGTTTATCATGGGTCATAGAGTGCTTTCATAAATAAATATTAAAATGTGGTTCTATTGTTTTCCATTTACAGTGCAGCAGGATTCAAACAAGTTTACTGAGTCCTTTATGTTGAAGTTAATGTTTTCGTTTGATTGTGTATGCCAAAAAAAAAAGGTATTGTATATTGAAAATAAATTATCCCTTTCACAATAGAAAATATAGAGTTAGAGGAGATCCTGTGTTGATTGGGCACTGATGCAGCTGATGGCTTCAAGCATTTCAAACACCAGCTTCCAGACAACTGGCCTGGATCAGAACTCAAGTTTTTTAAATATCTATATAAGACTTTGAAAAAAACATACCCCAAAATTCCTGGAAGAATACGTAATTTATAATTACACCTCTCTTAAAAGTCCTTTACTCTTACCAAAGCAGTGAGGTGAAATATAAACAGGATTCATTTATCTTGTCCACCCAAAACTCTGTTTCTTTATTTGTGTATTCTTTCAACTTGTCATTCTTCTTTTAACAGTTGCAGCAGGAAAAAGTGGATCTTTCAATGGTCTGTAAGGTTCTAAACTGATAAAGTCTTGTGTATTCTTTCAACTTGTCCTTCTTCTTTTGTTTTAACAGTTGCAGCAGGAAAAAGTGGATCTTTCAATGGTCTGTAAGGTTCTAAACTGATAAAGTGTTTCAAGGTTATGTGACCACATCTACATTTTGACACTTTAAAGTAATTTATACCTATTTTGTAATATTGTGTACTATTTGAGCCTTGGAGGGGAAAAAATTATTAAACATAAAAAAGCAGTGAGGGCACAGAAGGCATTTGGTGTCTTTTTTACAAAAAACTCATCAGGAACATACCTGACTCACCAAAATTAATTAATATTTGCACCAAGCTCTTTGATCTGAATTTCTACAATTCAGTATTTATGTGACCTCAAGTTATATGACCAGGCTGCAGTTAAACTTTATCAAAATAAGGGGAACAAAAGAAAAATTTTTGTCCTCCCTTTGCAAATGAGCATCTTGTGTTAGCCCTATAACATGCAGATACTTTATAGAATCATAGAATATCTCCAGTTGGAAGGGACCCATAATTATTATCAAGTCCATCTCCCACTGCTTCTTTGCTCCTACTTTTAAAGAAATTTTGATACCAGAATAGAAAAAAATCAAAGGAGTCATGATTTTGATTTGACTTTTCAAGTACTTTTAAATTTTCTATTATAAAAATTTTTCTTTCATAGATTGCAGACAGCTAACTGAAGCAACTGATTCTCCTAATATTACAGAGCAGTGCCTTCTGAATGGTTAGTGGTCAGAAGCTGCCGCCTTAAAATTACTGTTGAATGACATCACTGAAGTCTTATCAAAGGCCCACACACTTCTTAAGTGGTAGCCAAGGTCAAGTGGATAATGACTTTGGAAGTGCCTGTGACAGCCCATGGCAATTCAAATGACACTTGTCTCTGCAACTGGTCTACATTCTTTGCACAAATTGTACCAAGCCTGGCTTTCTCTCAGACAACAGAGGCAGCTGACAGAAACCTCAGTGGCCATAGAGTCTTGTTGCCTCTGCCAGTCTCAGAGACTGAAATAAAGCCCTGAACTCCAGCCCCCATCTGTACCCCACTGAATGCTCTTCTGCCATGGAAAGAAGCAGCCAGAGCACCGTCTTGTGTTACCTCGAAAATCCCTTAGTGCAGAACAAAATACTGCCAACGCTACTGCATATTCTGAATCCAATGTCTAGGCCTTGCTGAAAGGAGTAGATAAGCCCACATGTAAAACCAAGTTAGGTCATCATGATCGTTATCACCCTCCATTGAATACCAGAGGAATAAGTAATGAGCAGGCACTTGTTGCAAAGTGTTAGAGAGACACATCTTTTATTTTTTATGTGCAATAAAAGATGTGACTGGAATGCAAGACAACATTGGTTTGATTCCTTGCACCTGGAGTTTGGAAGTTGTTTGTATCATTCTCTGTTTCATGTCAAATGTGGGTCTCCTCATCCAGTTTCTTAATTTTTACAGTGTGTGTTTTTTCACTTTTTATTTAGCTATGTCATAGGTGAAGGTATTTGAAGTAATATCTCATTCCCTTTGTGATTTATTTACACATGGCACACTCACACCGTAGCTGTAATTGTCTGGAGAATAATGATTCAGTGCATGAAAACTCTCAGTGTATGGCATTTGTTTTCATTCTGCATGGGATCTAAACCAAAACAATCCCTAAACTTAAAAAAAAAAAAAAAAAAAAAAAAAAAAAAAAAAAAAAAAAAAAAAAAAAAGAAGAAGGAAAGAAAAATGTGTCAAAACAGATGTTTTAAGAAGGGGAAAAAATCCCAGTGTTTTTAGCTTTTCTCTTTCTGTCTGTCTCAGTGTCAGCAAAAGTAGTCAGTTGAATATGTACCTTAAAGTTTGCCTTGCATAAAAGAATAGTGAAAGTAAAGTGCCTCTAGTAAAATATGCCAGTTTTTGAAATGAATCAATGAATAATTAAATCAATATATATTATCTCAATGTTATTATTATGTATGCCTATAAACACTTCATAACACACTCTCATACCTTTCCTTCTCAACAGATACAATGCATGTATCTGTTTCAGAAGAAACACATTAAAGTATTCACAGAAACAAAAATATATTTGTCACTATAAGACAGTGATTTACCCTTTGCTATATGTCCAAAATTTAACACACATATAACATGTAAAGGAATTCATCAGCTCATTTCCTTTTTCCTGACAGACTCATTCCTTGCACTGACTGCCAGTAGGAATCACCTAGAGGGTATAAGGCAGAGCAATAGCAGTAGGAAGGTTAGTCAAACCCTGCTGTAAAGACCAGCAAAATGTGTCTTGGGTACTTTATCTTATCAACAACAATTCAAATTCATATTAATATATGTGCAAAGGTCTATTATTCAAATAAGTGATAGACTTTGAAGGAAATAATTTCCTCATTACTAGCCCATCTCCAGAACATGTGTTTACAAAACAATATTCATAGGAGTTCTCTGAAAATACTTCACTCTTGTTTCTCCATCTAAGATGAGTGCTGTTCTTTCCTGGGAGAAGCAGGAGGGGAGGGTCAACTCCATAGATCTTCTACAATGTTTTTGAGGACTCTGCTCTTCCCAGAAGCCACCAACCCACTGTACTAACAGCAGTAAGGAGAATAAAACTTGTGTCCTGTTTTGCTAGCTTGGGAGAATTATCAATGCTCTCCTTTACATGCAGCAAAAGAAAAAAATTAAAATACTCTAGTACACTGCCTACTGTGTACTGAGTTCTGGTCAGAGCAGAAATAAAATACTTCCTTCTTAATAAATACTGTTTTCTTTATGTGTGAAAACTGTTGCTGTTGGAAGCTGAAGTCTGGTCTGAACACAGTATTTTAACTGGTAAAATGCTCTTGGCTTGGTTATTTTTTCCCTTTATACTGAGATATATGCAATTGTGCACTTACTTATATCAGTTCTACTTCTCGGAGAAGAAGAAATAAACTACTAGTGAACACAATTTCACATCAGTGAGCCAGTAATCAAAACCACACTTAAGAAATTGCACTACATAAATCTTATGATATAGTCATAACAGTGCAAGTCTTGTGTATAAACTAAACCTTTTGGAATGCAGCAAGTACCCTGCTGATCTGTATTCATTACTGGCATTATTGGCACCCTCTAACAGAGCCTCCACAATATTTGTAATGTTTCTGCTGGTGTTTTATTACTTCCCATTCCCATCATAGCTAAATAGAAAACTTGTGAAGGAGATAGCATTAAAAATAATTAAATTAATTATTTAATAAGCATATAATAACTCATAAAATGTTGATTTACCTTTTGGTGAAGCTTTCTGAGTAGTGAATTATGAAGGGTTTGGTAGCATACAGAGAGAAGTACATTTTAGACTTACCTGAAACAGTTTGCACATTATGTATCTACACCTTTGCAAGCAGGGGAAGCCCTTTCCCATATTACATTCCATAGATGCTCCTCTCTTTAAGGTATCTCTTTCTCAGTAGTATACCATTTATTTTCTTTGGTGGGGAAGAAAAACATGCATTCTTTTCTCCCTGATAAAATGAGCAGAAATTCAAATCAAGCTTCCATACATCAAAAAATAAAAATATTTTTAATTCACACTTTAAGGCCATATTTGACTATCTGCTAAGTTTCTAAATAGGCTGTTGCTTATTATAAACAGTATTGCCTGCATAAAGCTTAATTATAACAGAAACACTATTACACTCCTTGATTTTTCCATCTTCATTTTGACTCCTCCTCTTTAAGCAATTGTAAAGGTATCAAAATCAACACTGATTATAAAAATTGGGTCATTCAGTCAATCATTTCAGAATAAAAATGAAACAGATTGACATTGTAAAAAATAGCAGGCTATAGATAATCTTAACCAGTACAGGAGCCTAAATCCTTGTGATCTGTTTTACCAATTAATTATACAGTATTCTTGGTATGCTACAGTCAGTGGTGGTAAATTGACAAGTTGCCTCTGCCAATCTTTTTCCCCTGTGTTAAAGTGCAGGATCTTTGTTAAGCAAAATTACCTTTTTGTTTCAAATATCTTTGTTTTGTCAATACAGATTTTGAATTCTCACGCTGATTTAAGCCTCTCATTAAAAGCTTGACAATGCAAGAAGCAAAGAAAACAGATATACACTAAAAGCTGAGGTGCTTTAACACCTTAAGCATCTCCACAGGCTTCAGTTCTGGTGAAGAGTAGTTACCAATAACTAAAATCTGGTAGTAGTTTTTTAATGTCTGTTAAACAGATTATATTGGCCGAGTATTTTTTTGTATAGAGCTGTTGAGAATGAACTTTCCTGTCTGAACTCTGAAAGAGCTTTTTGCAGGTTTTCATTACAAGGTATACTTTTAGGTCTTTGTGAATAAAAAAAAATCCAGGTACTTACTTTGAGAAAAAATACAATTTGCTCTTTGCTGACTTTTAAGATCATTAAATTACCTTTGGAATTTAAAGAGTCTTAAGAAATCAGGAGGTTTTAGGTAGAAAGTTCAAGGAAGTATTTTTCCATATGGAGATAACATTAAAGGCAAAATGAAGTCCTATTCCTTGGACATGAAAATAGGAAAAAGTAGTTTCCTCTCATCTACCATAAAAATAAGAAAACTGATTTTTTTTTTTTCTAGTTATTACAAAGTAGAAATTCCCATGAGAAACCAACTCATGGTTTGGGTGAAATTGTAGAAGTTTAATAATTGACTTATTAGAAACAGTATTCAAGTCTAGTAAGAAAAAGCAATTTTCTTATAGAAGTACTTGTAAAAATACTTATAATTTTTAGGTCTGTATTAAATTAAATTAATGAAATCTGAACCAGTACAAGATTTTTTATCAGCAAAAGAACATTTACTGGAGTATTTTTAGAGTTGTTTGTAATTTTTGTTTGATTCAATATTTATTTTTCCTCTGAATCATGAAGCATAGACTGTGGAATTTTGATGTACTGGCACAGTGATTTAAAAATAAATAATCATAGTAAAACTCAAGAAATTTCTATAGATACATTCATAACTACATGTCTTTGAAAGATAACCAAGCTTGCTTGCTTTTGGAACAAGCACTTCTGGATTCAGTTTTTCTCTAGTTGCACATCAAGAATAGTCTAATTTACTTAAATGGGTTCTTCTATTCCTACAAAATAATGTGAGCAGAAATTAATTCTGGACATAACACATTTCTCCTTGTGCATGTTGTAAATAATGGAAAAGTCTTGGTGAATTGAAATGCAGCGCTGTCCTTACAGGCATGATTCTGTACAGGTCTCTTGATGCTAAATAGCTCAGAGGAGGAGGCTGTTGTAACTTACAATACCTTTCAGCAGTCTAGATTTAAGCCCATGGCTCAAAGACTTGAAGCTATTTAAGCCATCTTTATCCTATTATCAATGTCTGATCTTAAGATCAGACATCTTTTTTTTGTCCCAGTATTATACACAGGCACTATATAGTTACACTGATGTAACGTCTAATATAAACAGCATTCTGCTGATTTTGAAGTGCCTTGTAATGTCCTCACATTCACATGTCACATAAGGAAACTGTGCTCCAGGTTGTGTTTTACCACAACAGGATTGCTGCATTTTATAAAAATGCACAGGCAGATGTCATAGTATTAAATTAGCACAAATTTTGAAGTACCCGAGACAAAAAAAAAGTCAGAAAATTGCATTCTGAAACACTTTTTTCACATTCTGCTAGTAACATGCTGAAGAACCCATGGTAAACAATGTTCAAGGAGAATGCAATTAGTTTATGTTTTATAAAGAAAAAAAAGGAAAATGGTAACAGAAGTAACTTTTCATATTACTTACATAAGTATTATCATAAAATCATGTACTAGTATTATTTAGATTGGAAAAGACCTTTGAGAGCATCAAGTCCAACTGTAAACATGAATCATTAAGAGGCATAATTGTCAATAGGATAAAATAAGATTTTTCTTTTTGACATTACTCAGCTAAATTAACAGGAGCATGAAGCATGAAGCATATTTGAGTGCAAAATCTTAACATTACAAAGGAAAATTTTTATTCAATTTTAACCCTCATTCTTTTGTTGTTTTTATTAAAAAACTCTGCTTAGAATGTGTCTGTTCAAAGATTAATATATCTGTCAGTTGAACCAATACTGCAGTAACAAGCATAAGAAATTCAAGGTGGATTTATTGGGACAGTCAGAAAGTGAGAACCATCTTAAAATACTTTAAGAATGACAGTTATATGAGTTAAAGGATGGGGGGTGAGAGTAAAAAAAGACTGAAATTGGCCCTGGGTAAAGACAGGAAAATGGAATCATAAATCATATAAGACAGCTGTGTTCTTTTATCCATGGATCCAGATGTTCCCACTAAATGTGTAACAACTCCAGAATTATTTTACAAGGAGGAAAGGAACTGTGAATATTCGATTTCTCTCTTTCTTAAACAAGACTAGCTGGGAATGTTTGATGCCAATAGAAACTTTGACCCATGCTTGCAGGAGAGCAGCCTCTGAACAGAGTTCTTAAACATAACTCCTTACCAATGTGGACTATGATATGATTTAAACAGCCAGTGCTAAAAGGCTAAGGTCATACTGGGATCTTTTTGAAAACAGTGACTAGAATCAAATCTACGGTTGAAGCATCTGGGTAATACGAGGCTAGATACCCTCACTGACTAGGAATTTCTAAATGCTAGCCAGTATCAGGGGATGATGGAGTCCTGCTAGAATTATAATCAGTTTCATACTGAGATCGGAGGTAGATGAATATTAGATGGTGAGAAAATGAAATTAGAAGTCAATTCAGATATATTTTGAAATAGCAGCTCAGGACAGATCGTGACAAAGCTATTTAAATATCTTCCAAATGAACATTCTTTTCCTCTCTTGTCTCTGCCTCATCCTTAAAATGCAATAGCTGATCACATAACAGCTTATGTTTTCAAATAAAATAGAGAAGGAAAAGTTTTTTCACTCTTCTAAATGTTTCTTTATTACAAGAGTAAAATAGAATAATATGTTTTTCTTTGTATTAGTTTCCTTCACCAATAGAGTTTTGAAACTTAAAAACTAATACCTATAGCTGTTCCACAGTCATCTAAAAAGATACCTTATGCTGATAATAAAAAATAGCACACTATTGGGTTTTATTAGGTTATTTCTGTAATTACACCTCTGTGACTGAAGACAGCTATTAAGTGATTATCACACCATTGTTTGCAGAAGAGGGGAGAGGAGGATGAGACTCCATGAAATAATAAAGGATAAGAATGTTTTTGAAAATACATATGTTATATTTTCTTTTAAGTTTGATCTATAAGGACCTGAGCTGCTATTTTCAATTTAGCTCAAATCAAGAAATACAGAGAAAAATAAAAGGCAGAGACATCCACTTCTGGATTTAGAGGGTGCTGTTGAAATCATGGAGATAAATATGTACATCCCCATTTGAAGCCTCATGAAGTTTATTTGGATTGAAGAAATTAAGGCTCTTGGTTAAAAATTATATGCCATTCATAGTGCAACATTCCACAGAAACCTGAGTCCCTGTAAAATTGTGGGTACTTCTCTTCAGTTTGTTTTCTGTAGTTCAGGGCATGATAATATTGAGCATGATATTTTGTGTCTGTAGAGGTTTTCTGCATCTTTGCATAAAAGCAACCACTGCAGAAAAGGTGAGATATTTTCAAGATTTATCATGGATTGAGACATCAACATTTTTAAACACGTTAGCTGATACTGTGTCCTTCATGTCTTTAGCTGTTTGTTGGATTTTTTTTTTGTTTGTTTTTTTGAGCAAAAATAATAGTTTCTCAATTTGACAGGTCTGTTATATAAAATATTGAATTTTGTGTTGCTATGTAAATGTGGTTAGGAAGATTTTTTTTTTTCAAAAAACAACATTCTTCTTTCTCTTTTGTATTTTCCCTCAAAACTTTTAATACTGAAATGAGCTGGAAAAAATTGTGACTACCTTTTTAATATAAATTGTGGATAGAAGTCCTTACATTCTCACAGACCTCCTGAAGTATTTAGAAACCCTCTTTTCTTTCTGACAGACCTATTTAAATGTATACCAGCTTTGAGACATCAGTGGGGTAAGTACTCTTAGAAGACTTTTCCAAAAGGATGAGACAAACATGGTTGTTTTTTAGACTATGATGACATTGAGAACACCAATACATTTTATAAATTTCAAAAATGTATACAGCTACTTCTTCTTCATTTTCCACTATGAAAACATCATGACTTTTTATGCCTATTATTAAGAAAACACTGCCTTGAGGGAGCTGCTGTAACAGTTTAAAATTAATCCATATTTCATCCTTTGGTTTAGGTGGTGAGTACTTTTTAATTCTTATATGATTTTAAAACTGCACCCAATTAAAAAATTCTCCTTCAGTTTTTATATTGTATTCCATTATTATATGCAAAAAAACTGGATTTCCATGATTTTCAATCTTTACTCACTTTGTTATCTTCTCAAGCTATGATCAAATTATCAGTGCTTACCTGAAGTTTCTTCCAAGCCTTTGGATCACTCTTCGAGCAGAAAGCCAGGTATATGGCAATTAGAAATATTTGTGAGTCCACCTCCAAAGGCTGAGGAAACCTGCTTACAATTTAAAGTGAGTAGTGGTGTGATAAACACTTCTTAAAAAGGGAAAATATATAATATAAAGTACAAGAACAATATACTGTAGGAGGAGTGAATCAGATGTATGAGGAGTTTTCTAAATAGTGCTATCAATCTGTTCAATATTAGAAAAGGTTTATTTAACTTTAAAAGGGATAGATAGAAAATCTAAGATTTTAAATCCTGTGAATGGTGACCTGAATATTGTGACCTGAACATAAATTTTGTAGCAGAGAAAAATATATCAATCTAAACTACTATAGGATTTCTGATATAACTATGATCACAGAAGGAAGAAAGAGAAATCAAACTGGAATATTGTTACTTGTAAATTCTCTTTAATCTAGACATATGACAATACATTAAAAGTAAGATTTAACAAAGAGGAAGAAGTGGCTCAAAGCACCATATTGGGTGGAGAAGCTACTTGTGTTATTGCCTCTCATCAGTAGACAACTGAAGAAAACATCCTAACACATATTCAACCAGATATGGAAGAAGCAGGTTGACCCACAGAATCACAGAATCGTTAAGGTTGGAAAAGATCTTGAAGTTCTTAGATTCCAGCTCTTAATCTAGAAAAAAAAGGGACCTTAAGGACCTTCCTAACCATTGCAAATTTCAATATAGATTCTGGACTTTTAACTTTACACTCTGAAGGATTCATTTTAACATGGTTAAAATCTTCAGAAAATCTGGAATCAAATTTTTGTGCCATCTCCTACAAATGGCTTTGAATTTGTGGGACATATGGTGAATTTTTATTTTTTCAACACTTAACTGACTTATATTACTGATAAACAAAAGGAAAAAGGATTTTTTGCCTTTAGGTGATGTATTTTCTCCTGATGGAAGCTGACAATGAACTAAATAGCTATGTTTGGTATTCTACATGCATAGAATTGTGACTGGCCAATCCATAGAAAAATGTCAGTTTTAGAAGTAACAAATGGTTATTTTACTTCTCTTAACCTCATAAAAATTAATGAAACCTGGTTGACAAGAGCTGAGAAAGAACTTAGCTGAAAACATGAACATACCAAGAATACTTAAGAATTCTATTAATCCCTTGATAAAAGAATCTAAAAGACCTGTCTTTGCTCCAGAATTTCTGATAGACTCTTACAAACTATTTTTTGCTGAAGAAAAGCGCCAATCCTAATAGGGAATAAAAAGCTTGGTTAGAATTAAATAATCTTTGGGAAATAAGCCATTTATTTTTCTGTTCAGGACGTACCCTGTAATGGACTTCCATAATGGAATATGCTAGGCTGTATTGGTGTCTTCAGAGAATCAGAAAAATAATAATTCTAATTCTTTGTTTCCTTAAGTATCTTACCTATTCTTAGGAGTATAAAGACACTAAGGATTTCTGAGACTTTCAACCCAATTCTACTGCAGCATCCTCAGTTTTATTAAGATAGAAAAATAGTTGGCAAAAAATGAGAATACAAAGCACTAATGCTTTTTTTCCTACCCTTAGATTTCGTTCAATCAATTTTTTTTCCTCAAGCAAGGACCAGGTGTTGAGACCCATTTTATTAGCCCTTCCATGAAAATGCAGGGAGTTTCTGACCCTGCTGTATATAATTGGAAAGCTGAGTAATTACATGCTATATAATTATATGTTTAGTTCTTTGGAAATGGACCCAGGCAACAGCTTTCAGCCAGGAAAAATCCAGAAAAAAAAAAAGCAACAAAAAACTAAAAAAAAAACCCCAAAACAAACAGAAACCAAAACACACACACACAAAAAACCCCAATAATGTTCTGTTTCTGTGCTTACACTTTATACATATACATTTTTAATACGTGAAACGACCATACATTAATCCTTTATCTACTTTTTTTTCTGCATTCTCTGTTCACAAATATTTTAGAGTACGTCTTTCAAAGAATAAACATAAACAACAATATTATTTTTCTGATGACTAGGAGAAAAACATTTTTTTTCCAATCTCTTCTCCCCCTCCAGCCCTTCACTCATTATTGTGTTGCTAACCTACTCCACCTTTTTGTGTGCTTTAGAGCGATCTGTCAAAATATAGAAAAATAATTTTTAAATTAAGATCTTGAAAAGATATGAAAAGAAATTCTTAGAGAATACAGCATTGTCTAAAGAGAAAGACAGAGGAAACACGGAGACAAAAGATGTGGGCAAATTTAGGAATGTTGTGGTATGGCTATGCAAAAATAAGTCAACTTTTTAATTATATGGGTAGATTTGGTTTGGGGTTTTTAAAATTTTGTTTTGTTTTAGTTTGGTTTGGGTTTTTTGTGTTTTTTTTTTGTTTGTTTGTTTGTTTGTTGATTGCTTTTTTGGTTTTCTTGGTCCCAAATGGAATTTTTTGAAGCAATGGAACTACTAGATTTAGTCCAGGGTTTTCTAGAGGTTTAGGAAATTTTGAAAATTTCATTTACATACAATAGTTCTTCCTTCTGTCTCAACGTCTCCAGGCAGGATATGCAAAGAAGAAGAAATGAGTAGTGTGGATTTCCTTGTGCCTTGAAATCTTAGACTCTCCTTCAGGGAAGAAGCAGAATTGTTTTGTGCCACAATACCAACTAATAGTGTGCACTCAAGAAGTGAGAAGACAGAGATAATCAAATCAGTTCTGAGAATAATAGGATGCAAAGAGAATTCAAAGAAATTTTTCTATTCAAGTACATAGAACAACCCTCTTTTCCACACAGAAGTGGGTGTTGCTTGAATATGTGTGACCAATAGCATTGTATGACCACTCGATGGACATTCTTCTTCACATGTACCAGGTGGCAGAACTGATGTTTTGAAATCTCACTGTATGAAATGCTGAGTAAAGCATACTGTCAAGTACTAGGTGACTATGTAGGGACCATATTTCTTTCATAGTCACTGTGGAAATTTTAGAAGCTATTATAAAAAGAATTCCAACAATTTACAAGCTGACCTTATTATTGCACTTCATCTTTTTCTTTACTGTTACTTCACTGACCTGAGGCAAGTTTGCAGAATTACCATGCTGGAAAAAGTTTAAATGTCTGTTTAGATACTGAATGGAAAGAAAATGTTTAATTCTACAATTGCATCATTCATTATAAATATTCTAAATCAGGGAGTTCTGGGATTTCATTTGTCCAGGGCCTAGTACAATAGTTCCCCTGATTGTGCTCTTGAAGCATTATGAATTGATGAATAAATGAATAAATATCATCTCAATGTTTCAGGCAGAGGCATGAAATCCTTTTTACACACCTAAATGTGTTATATAGTATTTGCTATAGAGAGAATTTCTTTCCTAATGGCAGGTAACAATAGCTTTAAAATAGGAAGATTCATAATCCTTATGGGCTTCATCCTATTGTGTAATTGAAAATACCACCAATATATAATCATTACATAACTCTTGTATTAAAATAAATGTAATAAATTATTTTTAATTGTGTTTCATAAACAATTGTTTCATTGGTTGATAAAGTAAAGGGAACAATTAAGTAAAAAAGGGCAAAACACATTGGAATAAATGAGAGAAATTATGATTAGTGTATATAATGAGTCTATGAGTGTATATATTATGTTTAAAGTATTTCCTATTCCTGTGGGATATTTACTAAACTAGACCTATTTGAGAATCCACAACCACATACAAACAAAGCCTGCTGATGTTGCAGTTTTCATATGTACTTTTCAATAGTCACACATCTACAGAGCACAGCAACAAAGCAGAGAATGTTATTCCTTTGGCAACATGAGCTGGTACAGCATAGGAAATTTGGCATGATTTTTTAGCTGTTCCAAACTTTTTGGTCCACATTCTTAGTCTTCCCACAACTTCTTAGGGACATTCTGGCAGTTCAAAGCAGTTGCAAAATGCACACATCCTGTTTTTCAAAGACTGAATGTTGTAATTTATTGTTTAAATATCTTCACGAAGGACTTTTGTCTATTAAAGCAAAACTGTATTATAAAAGCTGCAGAGATAACCACTGCACCCTGAATAGGCCTTCTGACTGAGTCCCCGGACTGCACGCTGATGAAGATGGGCTGATGGAGACTCAGGTATGGGCTGGGGGGACAAGAATGTATTCACAGAGGGATCAAGCTTAGCATCTTCAAGGTGAGGACCACAGACCACAGGGCTGTCAGCTGCCAGACTGGCACAGACCCTCACACCAAAGCCTGGGGGGATGGAAGGTTTTGGGTGTGTAGTGAAGAAGCCTCCGGTTCGAGGCAGTGAATGCCCATCCTCTGCTGTGCAGAGGAGCCCAGCTGTGGGGCCCCTCCACCCCGGGAAAAGCCGCATCCTAGCAAAGGACAGCAGAGTCATAGTCTGTAAGAATCCGCACCTGGACGGGCTGTTTGGGTCCAACCTGGCTAGCTATGGACCCCAGCACACATAATCTTACATGAACAAAAGACCAGAAGCGCTCTTCTCTATGTGGGGATGAACGTCCTCTCAAAAGACACCTGAGAATCAGGCGACACCCCAGATGCGAACGACAGTGTAGCTTGATGGTGGGAGACTTTTATCCCTGGGGGAATGGGGGGCGGAGGAAGAGGACCACAGCCAATGGGATACCAGCGAGGAGCAGCGAGGGGAGGGACTGACCAGGGAAGAGACCACCGGCGGTACTGGGGAGAGGGGTGGGTAAGAGAAAGACCATGTGATAAGAGAGGGGAAGAACAAACTGTGTGATGTAACGTAAACTATTCAGTGCAATATAAAGACTACTCAGTGTAAATCTCCAATCACCCAGTGCAAAACAACAACTAAATTATTTAGTGCAATAGAACAATAGCCCATCGGAGGCCTCCCACAAAGGGGCCCCCAGACCCTGCACCAGGGCGCTGCAAATGATGCAACAGGTCCACAGTGTTGCAAGGGACAGTGTCAAACCGGACCCCTGCAAGGGAAGCACCTGGGTGTTCCCACAGGGCCCAAATGTACACTAATCCATGGGATTCTACACCTTTTGGCACAGCAGGAGCAGCAGCA